GGGGCCTGTGAATGGCCCATCTGAGCCTCTGATTATCCCAGCAGCAATCTGTTCCCACCCTCTCTGCCTTCACCAAGAGCCTCCTGCAAAGCTCCCCATATAATCTCCCAGAATCGTATTTTGAATACTGTTTTGATTAAACACCAGAGCCAGGGGAGGGAGGGTACAGCCCTGCTCTCCCGGCTGAGCCTGCTGGTGCCACCGACATTCAGTCCATGTCACAGCTGGCCTGTGAGCGCCGCGAAGTGCCTGCCCGCAGATGCAGGGAGGTGACATTCTCAGAGCTGAGTCTGCAAGCGCTGGGCCTGCACACTCCCTTGATGGCTAAAGCTTCCCTGCCATCAGCTGGGGGGCAGCCACCAGGGGCCCAGGTTGAGAGAAGCTGAACCATGGTCTATAGCAGCGGTTCTCAACCTGTGGGTCGCGACCCCTTTGGCGGTCGAAGGAGACCCTTTCACAGGGGTCGCCTAAGACCATCCTGCATATCAGATATTTACATTACGATTCATAACAGTAGCAACATCACAGTTATGACGTAGCAACGAAAATAATTTTATGGTTGGGGGTCACCACAACATGAGGAACTGTATTTAAAGGGCCAGAAGGTTGAGAACCACTGATGTAAAGGGTGTTGTGAGATCATCAGAGACGGGTGTCTTCCCTCGTGGCCTGGGGCTGCCCCCAAATGGGCTTCATTTTAGCGCCTGGGAGACCCTGTCCTAGAGCAATGATGCCAACCGTGATCATGATGATGAGCCTGGAGAAGTCCTCCTCCATCCTGGTGGGGCCTACAGCCAGCCGGGGAGGTGTTTCCTTTTGTTTTGACTTTTAGTGCCATTATCCAAGCTGTACCCCAGACCAGTTAAATCCAGTCTCTAAGGCTGAGGCCCAGCAGTGTTTTCTAAAGCTTCCAAGTGACTCCAGTGTGCAGCCGAGGCTGAGAACCAGGGCACTACAACCAGGCTGTTTCTCCTTCCAGCCCCGGCATAGAAGCTGGGTGGAGGTGAGGGGTAGGGCTTGGCCCACTGAGAGTCTAGAAGCCTATGATTTTCCCTTCAAATCTATGGATCTTTCTAGTTTCCCCACAGTACAATGAAGTATAATAAGTACATTTCCCCCCATGGTTTGGGAAGGAGCCCAAA